ACAGTGAGGGTGCCAGAGCCCTGGAACAGGCTGCCCAGAGAGGTTGTGGAGTCTCCTTCTCCGGACATCTTCAAAACCCGCTTGGACGCAGTCCTGTGCCACGTGCTCTAGGTGACCCTGCGTGTGCAGGGGGGTTGGACTAGATGACCTCTAGAGGTCCCTTCCAACCTTAAGCATTCTATGATTCTGTGAACTTCCTGTATTTAGTTACAGTTCTTGTATTGTGGGCTGTTGATAGTTACATTATTGCCAGAAAACTCTAGTGTTGATTCTGTTTTGAAGAAGATCAAAGTGCGCATAAATGCAGTTGTAGAAAAACAGAGTCATTTCGCAGTATAGTATCTTATTGAATGAGGTGTCAAAGATGTAAGAGAGGAAATAAAGCAGATGAAAAAGATTTAAAAAGAAAAATACAAGCTATATTTTCATCTGTGTGACTCGTCCTCTCTCGGAACCCTTGAGGTGATCTTAGCATCAGTCGTGAAGCTGCACTTTCTTGAAAGTGGTCTCCTTTCTCCCTTCAATGGGAAACAGTTTATAATAGTTGGCATAACTGCTAGAAATGGCAGCCTAGAAAACCACTGACCTTCATATAATTTAAATGATTGCTCCTCTAGTGACTTCGTGTACTTTTTTTAAAAATCTTGTAGTTTTTGTTTGGTTTATTTTTTCATTAAGTATTTCATGAGGAAACTTGGCTTAGTTGCATATTTATAGCTCTAAAGGAATCAGTTCCATTTTACTCTACAGACTGACTACTGGTGAGGTGGTGAGGCAGCGTGTGAATGCTACATGCACATGCGTGTGTCTGTCATATGCATCTGTGCCTCGCAGTCATAATGCTGCTATTACGCTGACCTGTTAGTATCAGTTTTGTGACCTAAATTTATTTGGAAGCAACTTATATTTGTTTTCTAATAAAACCAAATCTAATTGTAATCTTTATACTGTGAATTAATTTTGCTGTGATTTATATTCTGTTAGCAAAAGTCCTGAGCAGCAGGTACATTAATTGCAGCTTTGCTGGAAGTTAGTTAGATGTAGATTTTTGCCCATTGAATTTGAATGAGGTATGGAGGAAGATGTGACACTTTTAGTGCTGTTTTTAGGTGCTGTGTAAACCTAGCCATGCAGAATGCCATTCGTAAGGCCAACAGTGATATCAGTGTACTTAACATATTGTAAAGTTGGACTTTTGGAAGTTTTCCAAAGGAAAACTTAGATTTTTTTTTCTACTGAAAAATTACAGGATTAACAAAATGAATGCTGTGTAACTTATGCTTAAAATATATTGCTTGATACTTGTGGGAGAGTTATTTTAAAGCCTGCCTGTATTCTTTGCTTGGCTTGTGGGAATAGTGAACCCACCCACATTCATTGCTACCTCCTACACGTTAGGAGAGAGGAAAAGAGAGGTTTCCTCTCTCACACACCAGCAGTGCTGCGGGTTATGGCTCCTGCGTGTTACTGCTTTGTTTGCAGGAGCCTCTCTGTTTGTTTGTTTCTTCAGGAAGTCCAAGTTTCCCTGCTACAAACCCCATTGAATCACACTGTAGACTTTCAAACCTCTTTTTGGAGTGCAAGTATTTTCTCTTTGTTTTCTACCTGTGGATTTTTATTATTTCATTATTTTTCTTGACTCCTGTAAAAATAATGGGGCAATTGGAATTAAAAAGAAAAAAAACTGCTTTTCTGTGGGGATACTCAAACAACAAAGCTGAGTAATGTCTCAGTTCTCTGTAACTTCTAATGTTTCTGTTGTGTTCTGTAGTCATCCTTAGTAGTTCTTAACCTAGGCTTGAGTCACTCTCCTGTACTGTTTTATATTGCTTATTTACTTGCGCTTTTGAATAACATAGGTTTGAATGAGTAAATAATTAATCAGATGAGAGATAAGAAATGAAGAGGATGTTTTTTAGAATAGAGTGATTGTAAAAACATGCTGTTAAAAATATTCAGGGTAGAAAAAAGTGAGAGTCAACTTTGAATAACTGCTAAAGAAGCCCTAATCTTAGTATGGATGAGAAAATGAGATCAATTCGTGTAGATAAGTGTTAGGTGACTCATATGGAATCTGCAACTTACTGCAGGCAAGAACAACAGCTTTGTATTGAAAATACATAGTTTTGTGAAAATGCCAGTTCATGCTCAGGAAAGTTAATCCCACAAATTTTTAGGAAAACAGCAAAACAAAGTATTTATGCCATTGCCTAGGTCCATGTGACATACACAGTCATTCCATCTAAAAGATACAGTAGAGAAAAGCTCAGAGATGAGCAACACAGATTTATCAAAGGTTTGGATTAGCTTCCTCTCACAGAAAGAGTTTAGGGTAGGATGTATCAGCCTGAAAAAAAATGATTGGAGAAAAAACACCTGTGAAGTCCCAAGTGGCCTGGAGCAGGGGGAAATATGAGAAATGATTGTTCCTCATCTCTTACAAAAAATAGCAGCAGTCAAAGGCAGCAAGTTCAAAGCAAACAAAAGAGGCTTCCTTTCACAGTGCAAAAATGGGGCTGTGGAAGTTACTGTCATAGGAGATTGTGGATAGTAAAAGTTTACATGGGCTCAAAAAAGAAGAGAAATTAGTTGAAGAAAATTTCACTGAAGGTTGTTAAATAGGCTTCTGAATGCAGAAGTCTTGGAGACACAAATGATTGGAAGTTGGAGTATGTGGGTGGAGGAGAATGCAGGGAAGGTGGAGAGGCAGCGCGTTGCACACACGACTACATTCTTTGGGTATTTTCCTAGTGGCTGCTTTTGGCTGCTTTCAGGGATGGGGTACAGGACTAGATAGACCCTTGGTCTGAGCCACTACATATGTTCTTAAGATTACTTATTAGTCTGTCCCTTGCCTTGAGCTTTTTGGTTAGTTGTATCGAAGGATGCTATTAAACTTCTAGAGGAAGAAAAAAAAGTCCCATCTCTTCATTCCTCTATACAAGCTGATTAGGAAGCTTTTTTAAGGGAAATCTCATTATGTGAACATTGCTTTGAGTTGCCCAACTTCCACTAGCAAGATCGGGAGTCGCCAGTGTAAATAGCAACAACAAAATGCGCAAAAAGTATTTTTGGTTTCTATGACTGTGTTTTCTTTCTCTGTTTAGACTAGAAATATCCATCAGAAAGATTTTATTTCTGTATATATGGCTGTCTGAGTGCAGTCATTCATTCTTAATCTCTCTTTCTCGACCTGTCTTTCTATGGTGTACTGTTTTCTTTTTGGCCTATTTTGCTTTATTTTTGTTCTAGAAGCAAAATGCATAGCTCCACATTTGTTTCTTCTGATTTTGTTGCAGCTGTGTCAATACAGTCTTAACTTTGAATACCTAGAATGTAGTACAAATGCAAAAATATACAGGTATAAAAATGCAACTGCTTTTTCTTTCCTTTTTTTTTAATAGCAATTACATGTATTTACATTATGGAGTAGGTGTATGTAGTGCCACTGAGGAGTGAAAGCAGAGCCTTGCCTTGATTCCTAATGATTAGGAAGAGTGCTGGAGCAGCACTGGGGTTTGAGTGCCCTGGGAAGAAGAGTGTTTACAGCTGTAGAGTTCTTCTCTCTATAAATATATATTGGGGTGTCTGATACTTTTTGTCCTACAGTTTAGCTAGCAGCACTTTTTATTTTGGCAGAGAACTTCCAAATGGTATATTAACTTTATAAATATATATGTGTGTGAATATATATATATATATGTAGTTTTTTCTGTTCAAATTCAACCTTATGATGTCTTTATGTGATCAGATCCATACTGGAGAGGATCGCTCTCAGTGTGAAACCTGTTATTGCATCTGACATCAGAGGATGTATTGTTTGCAAGGTCTCTTGAAAATAATGACACAAGCAATGGTTATTAAACTGTAGAGTAAGCTTGAATGTGTTTGCTATATAAATAGCTATATAGATAACAGGGTGATTGAATTTTTTTGATTGACCTCAGTGCAGGGCCTCAGGAATTCTGGAAGTCGTGCAGCAGGCAGGCTGAGGTGGCTGCAGAACTAGGGTTTGAATCTGTAATGGAGGTGTAGGAACAAGGAGCCTCCTCCTGCAGGTTGGTAGGGTGAAATGTAGTCTATGGCAGTGATAATGAATGAAAGTATCAGAGGAGGGGGAGCTACAAGGGTTTCAGCAGGCCAGTGTTGCAGGTACAGAGTAGGCACCAAGCTTAAGGTTCCTGCGTCACTTTGTTCTCTTCCTTTTGCCTTGTGTTGGTACTGGAGCTTGGCTAGTATCCCAGAGTGCCTTAAAAGCTAAATTGAAGCACAACTCTTTCAAAAATATGAAGTACAAGATTAGACTGAACAGGACTGAACAGGCTGTTTCTGGGACAAGCAAGTGCCAACGTAGGAGAGAAGGTATAGCGGCACATGGCAGAAAAAAGGGGAGAGACGATGGAAGGTCAGGCTCTTTGAGACAGGTTGCTGTTCCACAAGGATATTTATTCTGTGTTATTGTTTACTCTGGATGACAAAATGCTTTGAGCCCAGTTGGCATTTCTGGATGGAAAAAAAGGATGCCCTGCTACAATTAAACCTATATTAAAGAATGATTCTAAACCTTAGAACTGCTAGCCAGTAATTAGGTTTGCGTATTTATTTCTTTTCAGGATCTGGAGTTTCATGGAGTGATGAGGTTTTACTTTCAAGACAAAGCAGCTGGAAACTTTGCAACAAAATGTATCCGTGTATCTAGTACTGCCACAACTCAAGATGTGATAGAAACTCTTGCAGAGAAGTTCCGACCGGACATGCGAATGTTGTCATCCCCTAAATACTCGCTTTATGAGGTGCATGTCAGTGGAGGTTTGTATCTATCCGCTAAACCTTTGTGTCCACATCACCCTTCTGCCTGCACCCTAATGAAGTATCGTAAGCTTTCCCTTCATCCTCTGAACCGTGTGATAGAGTTTGTGTTTTTTGCTCTTAAGAACATTTTTTGTTCTTTTACTGTGTACACAGAGGAGTGGATTTTCAAATATAAGTGCATAAACTTGAGGGCTGAGATATGTGTGTTTGATGATGAGATGATCTGTTAAATACTGTGATGGCATCCTGTACTTGCTGACATTTCAGAGTTACTACTTTTAGCACAAATAGAAGAAAAAATAGGAGAATTCTTAAATTGGAGCACTTAAGAATACATCCTCAGTTTTCTTCTTTGATACTGTAGGCCTGTGATAGCCATGTGAGACATGTTTCTTTGTTGCTAAATTGAGGGAAGTTTGAGGTATTGTTTTCTGAAGCCATTGTTTTTCTTAAGCAGATCCTTTAGTATTATTTAAGAAGAACCTAGATTTCTAAGTAGGCTTTTGATATTGCATGCATCTGCTTTTACTTCCCCCTACAATACAGAAAGCTTCAGGTGGGAAGATGGTGGTGTATGGGCCAGGGGGTGAATGGGAGAAAATGACTTCTTGTGGTCCTTTCCCTATTTTGTGAATGCTTGCGTGCAAGTGGTTTAACTACCTTAAAGTTTGCTTTTCAGTGACTGAAACCACTTGAAACTGCTTTGACTTGAGGTAAAAAATAGAAATATCTTGGAATGCATAATGCTTTTCACAAGCTAGTGATGATCTAAATTACAAGGAAAAAAAAAGAGCATTTGTTTTCACCAGTTTAAGTAATGATATTTAACCCTGCCTAGGGTTAAAATGAAATAGTTTCTTTTGTTGGACAAGTTCCTGATTGATTGTTTAAAATATAGCTCCTGAGAGGCATCTCTGTCAGTATACGAGTATTTCACATTAAATAAAATACAACAACATTGTCTTTGTCATGTTATTGTCATGTGTAGATGATCTCCCTCTGGAGTGCAGGGTACATGGCAAAGTTTTTATATATATATATATTTTTACCATCTTCTCAGTTTTATTTCCATATACTTAAAAGAGGTATAAAATGCTAAATGAAATTTTGTCTAGTTTATATGTGTATTTTTATTTTGTAATCTAACTTATTTTTGTGCAGTCTTTCTGGAATATTAGTATTCATGTAGAAGCCAGATTAGTTAAATTTTAAAATTGGGAAGATGAATATTTGGAAATCTATCAAGATGGTAGAGTTTAAAGCATCTTAAATGTAGCTGTAACTTCTACTCCTGAGTGATAATTTTAAGTTCCTAGACTTCAGCTCTGACACAGATGATGTACAAGGCTACTTTCAGTGTACCTTTAGCTTATGCAGATAGAGGGACTACATGGGGAAGAAGCATGTATAAGATTGACCAAACTTTTTTATTTTTTTCTTGAAAGCCTAACTTGTTTCTAAATCTGCCTTCTGTTGTTCGCTCTTGAGATTCCAAATAACTGTTATTGGTTTTCATTTTTTTGAAGAAGAAAGAAGATTAGATGTTGATGAGAAGCCTCTTGTTGTACAATTAAACTGGAACAAAGATGATCGAGAGGGAAGATTTGTTCTCAAGAATGAAAATGATACGCTTCCTCCAAAGGTGAGGCTGTAAGAAGGAACATGCCTGTGGTAACAGCAGCTTTGTAATCTGTGGGATTCACTCATACTGTGTAGCTTTATTTCAGTTTTTTTCTAATTCCTTTAAACAATCGCTGCTGCTAATCTTGGATATCTGGAGCAAGATAAAATGCATCTGCACAACGGACCACTTTTTCTGTCTTTCATATAATTTGTGCTGCTTTGGTCAAGGTTACTGGCTAGTGCTGTAGCATGTAAGGGACAGAAGATTTAGAGCTTGTTTTGCTCTGGTAACCTGTAGTAAAAATATTCTCTTGTAGTATAACATGCAAAATGCCTTACAGAACCCTTAAAGGGTAATGCCAGAAGGAGTTTAATAATTAAAACTCAACATCTCCCTAGGTAACATTCTGTTTCTTAACAGAGCTCATGAATACTTTTTCCTTCTGGGGATTTCTTTTTCAATCTGCTGAAAAATGAGGGAAATGGGAACATCAGACAAACAAAACTATATATTATATCTAACCTGAATTTTTATGGCTATGGAAAACAGGCTGTTTGGTGTGGGCTGACAAGTTTTTTCATCTTGGGGTTAACACTGAATTTCTTCTGCTGTTGGTATTACAGCTTGTTAATTTTAAGTGTTTTGGCTCACACTGCAATTTTGAATACAGGATGCATCCACATTAGTGGTGGGGAGAGATTAACAGTGCCTTGTGTTACACCTATGAGACTTGCTGTTTGCCAGACTTGCTATTCCTATTCATTGCCCTCAGTAAACTTCAGTCTGCCTTCTCTGTGATCTTCCTTTCCCGACAAGTAAAAAACCTGCATCTTCTTTCTTATCTCCTACTATTCTCTCTGCCAAAGACAAGTAAGTGTAGGATTACAGGAGTCCTGTGTGTGCAAGAAGTGGGAATTGGAGAACCAGAAGGACAAATCAGAAAAATGCACTCTAGCGGGAACGTTATTATATAGTGTATTTTCTGCCCTGCATGTTTTGATCCGACACTCCAACATGATGTCTTGAAAAGAAAATTAAGTGCAGTGTTATGTTGTGAAACATTTTTTTTTACTAGGAGACAAACATTTGTTTTGCAGTTTTCAGTAATTTTTTAAAGTTAAGTCTGCAGACTTAACTGCAGATATATTCTGCATTCATTTGTGTAAAATTCAGGTGATCCTTCACTTCCATGCACACACTTCTGGAGTACAAGATACACTGTTCATATCTGCTTTGGAATTCTTGAATGTGTTTTCATTTTAGTGATACTGTGTCTTAAACAGCTACCTGGTGAGTTAAAATCAATAATAACTTTTCAGTGGACCAAAAATGATACAAGCTGTTTTTTAACTGATTTATTTCAGAAGGCTCAGAGTAATGGCCCTGAAAAACAAGAAAAAGAGGGAGTTATCCAGAATTTCAAACGGACTCTCTCAAAAAAAGAAAAAAAAGAAAAAAAGAGGAGGGAGAAAGAGGCATTGCGACAAGCATCAGATAAAGATGACAGACTTCTTCATGGAGATGATATGTAAGTTTGTTAAACTTTGATCAGTTTGTACAACCTACATCTTTAAAAAATTCTTCTTCTTTATCTAATGACAATTTTTCCTGTGTTTGTTAAACTAACTTGGCAGTGAGAATTCTCGCCTTGCAGCTGAAGTTTACAAAGATATGCCTGAGACAAGCTTCACTCGCACAATATCCAATCCTGAAGTGGTTATGAAACGTCGACGACAACAAAAACTAGAGAAGAGGATGCAGGAATTTCGCAGTTCTGATGGCAGACCAGACTCAGGTACTTAGATTACTTTAAGCTAAGCTAATGTTATTCTGGTTACTGAGAAGTTATTCTTAAAACAAACAGCTGACTGAGTTTAGATAGAAAAGTTGGAGAAAGTAGCATTTATCCACAGTGCAGTGAAAGATTTGTAGAGCTGAGATCCTGCAGGAGTTTATCCTGGGACTGCTGTTAGTCAAAGCTTTCGATGATGGGCTTAGTGATGGGATAGAGTATGCTCATTGATCTTGTTCTCAGTGCTTAAACTGGACAAAAATGATGACCAGAATTTCAGAATACTGACATATTGGAGAAGTCTTCTGAAATAACTGTGAGTCATTTTTACTAACAAACTGAAGGATCTGCACTTAAGAATATAATCAGTAGCACAAACATGTTTAGGCAGGAATTGTTCAGATCTGCAGAGACATGCTTACTAGATCTTGTGGATCACAAAATGAACAAGCATTTCAAGTTGAATGTGAGGCCAAAGATCACATTGGTTGTGTGACATCAGCATTAAAGGTAAGAAAAATAAAACTTTTTTCTGTTTTTATTAGTATTGGTAAAATCTCAAAGGATGTATTTTGTTCTATATTGGGTTCTGAGTACCAAGAAAATTGAGTATCCATAGAAGAATAGTGAAGAATTAGTAGAAGTGTAGAAAAGATGACCTGTAAGAGAAGTCTTAAGCAGGAATACTGAGGAGAGAAATCAAGCTTGAAAAGCAGCACAAGTTTGCTTTTAAGAAGTTCGGAAAGGTCTGTTATCTGCTCATTATCATCGTTTAATTTTGACTTTAGGGAGAATTAAGAATGGCAAAGATATTGAAGCACTGGAGAAACCAACTTGCCTAGAGAACTAAGGAAAGCATTACTAAGGGTTATTACCAATGGTCTAGAAGAGTAATTTGAGGATTATATGACTAGTCTTGTGTTAGGTATTGACTAAAAGATTTCTCAAGGTGTTTCTAAGTATATTTCTAACAGAAAGCAAAAAATGGTTGCGTGTCTATGTTTCTTTTGATATTTTGGTAACAGTGTTAATTACATTTTATTTTCAAGGTGGGACACTGAGAATTTATGCGGATAGTTTAAAACCAAATATTCCATACAAGACAATCCTGCTGTCTACTACAGACACTGCAGACTTTGCAGTTATTGAAGCACTGGAGAAATACGGTCTGGAGAAGGAAAATCCTAAGGATTATTGTATTGCTCGTGTAAGTGGAGTTACTAAATCACAATACTTCTTATGCTTCTTGTTTGATTTTGCTACTTGAGCAAACTTAAGATGAAATGAGAAAACATCTTATAGTTCCAGGACCCTTTTTCTTTCTATTTAACAACTGCAGTAAATTTTTACTTGTTGCATAGATAAACATTAATAATGAAAGGAACATATTTCCGTATTTAGTGCTGTGTTTAAATGCTGCCAAATGCTTATGCTTTGCAGATGTATAAATAAATAGTTAATCCTGCAGATACCTGAATTTGTGCTTGGCTTGTGCATAAGCTGTTCCCCTGAACTAAATGAGGCTGCCCTGAGGCAAAAGTGCTTAGTCCAAACTCCATTATAAAAGTACATTATATGTCATTGCCATATGTCTCTCAGCAGTTGCTTACCATCATTACACATCAGTGAAATTTAAATGTTTATCGGAAACTTAAATTTTATTATTGGAATTCATTTTTTGGGGGGATCTAAATGAATCAAAAAGAATCGCCATTTCTTAAAAAAGTATAGATTTAACCAAAAAGCCCCATGGACATTATTGATTAAAAAGTGTAAACTTTAATCATCTCCTGAAAAAGAAAGGATGGTTGGATTTGAAAAGTCTTGTTTGAGTTTGAGAAAATCCTTGTTTGAGTCCAGTCTTCCATCATATTTCTGTTACTAGGTTTCCAATGAACTTGATTTTTCTGCTGCTTTAGCTGATGATTGGAAGGAAAAATCTGTTTCTGTACTCGTGTGTCGTGGCCTGCCCCACTGTGGGGCAAAATCCTTCTCATCCACCCCTCACCCAGGGCTTGAAATGTAACTGGAAATCATAAAACATATTTGCTATTTTGCACACTCTGTATTACTCTAAAGTATGTGAATATTTATCTTTAAGTTGCTTTTACTTATGCTGCATTTTTTTCCTTTTTTAATGATATCTTCGGGTAACCTCAGTATCTACTTTTGCTGTGCCTAAAACCTCTAGTGGTGTCATCAGCTTGGAATACGTGTGATTACCAGTTGTAGAATAAACATTCTAAGTACATTCTAAATAAATAAACGTTCTAAATACGTTCTAAGTAAATGTTCTAAATTCGAATCAAATAACTGCACAGTGGTGATTTTTATAGTCCCGTAACAATGAACTAATTCTAGTTTCCATTGTTTCAACAGTTTTTTATTTTGGTTAGTTTTAGGGTTTTTTTTTTTTTTTTTTTTTTTTTTTTTTTTTTAGTTCTAGGCATTTTTAATGAAGTTTTAATGAAAAATGGATGTTTTACCCATATCTTTGTTTACCTGTAATTGTGGTCCTTTACTGCTGGCAGGGCTATTTCTTCTTTTTTTTCTAACACTTGGCAGTGCACTATGAAAGGCAGATCTTAGGTCTTTCTTGTGTTTGTTATTATTATTTATGTTGTCAGTTTTAAAACACATTAAAATTAACAATTTACTCTGTAAGTTCTGTTTCCTTTCTTTTTTTAAACACATTCTAACTAAACTAAAGTTGTGAATTCTTTTGAGAGCAGGCCAAGTGTCTTCAGAGAGAATTTAAGTGATTGCCATTATTTAGCTGTTAAAATGGATATTAAATTATATGGCAAAACCTTTTTTAGGGGGTGTGTAAGTACCTACAGTAAAGTTCACTCAGTTCAGAAGTTTCACTTGAAAGAATTTTTTAACATTTACCATCAACAGCTTTTATTTTATTGTAAATGGCTGTCTCCTACTTCTTGCATATTCTATTTTGTGGCTTATCGTGCTATATTATGTTCAGTTCTAGAGTGATTTTCTCTGTAATCAAGTAAATAACAAGTTTGTTCAATATACATTTTTGTTGTTTCAGTTCGCTTGGTTTGAGTTTCCCTGCATAATACAAGGTTCACTGCACATCTCTCAAGATGTCAAATTAATTAGACAGTGTTCCAAGCTACCTGTGCATATTCACTTACTTAAGGCAAAAGACTTGAGGCATGCAGCAAGCCAGTTAACTCTTAAAATAGAATCTTGATTAGACCTTTGTTTTAGCATGTTCTTATTTTTCACTTGAGAAAAAGAGGGAAAAATACTTAATGTCAAGCAAAAACATGCAGTTTAT